GCACCAATGTACCATGAATATAATTTTGCAGGAATAGATTTTGATGAGCATATGGTCACATAATTTAAGCTTCTGCAGTTGTGGCTTACAAATTTGTAATGAAATGATTGCCACAGTTCAGCAATTTCAGCTTTTTTACTTTTTATGGACTTAAAATAAAAGACCTGCGCAAATCAACGGATGGGTTTTCCTTAGCAAATTTGATACGTGTTGGTAGCTTTGGCTGTGTGTTCAAAGGGATTCTCAATGATGGTAGACTTATTGCTGCCAAGGTACTCAACCTTCAGCAGAAGGGAGCAATCAAGGTCTACATGGCTTAATGTGAAGCTTTGAGGACAATTCGACATCAAAATCTTGTAAAGATCTCAAACTGTTGCTCGAGTATGGATTTTAGAGGCATCAATTTTAGTGCTTTAGTTTTCCAGTTCATGCAAAACGGGAATCTAGAGAACATGCTGCATTCAGAAAACGAATGAGCAGAACCAACAATTGAAGCTTAATATTTTCCAGAGATTAAATATTGCCATAGATGTGGCTTCTGCACTGGAATATCTACATCACTACTGTCACGCTCCAATCATCCACTGTGACTTAAAACCAAGTAATGTTCTTCTTGATGTTGATATGTATGCATATGCAAGTGACTTTGGTTTTGCCCAGTTCCTTACAGAATGCACAGATATGTACTCTCATAATCAAACCAGTTCAATCCGTATGTGAGGATCCATTGGTTATGTTGCTCCAAGTATTTACTTCATTCTCTCACTCTGGTTTTGCATACTCAACCAAAACATAAGCACATACCTTTCACTCAATTATTAATTGATTGCAAAAACTTCAACACATATACGAAATACAATTCTGTTGCGAGATAATAAGTTTGTATACCAATTAAAAAAAACACCTTGTTGGCAGCAGAACTTGGAATTCTATCAGCAGTAATGAATCTAAGCAAATGTCAGCAACAAGAGAAATTTTCTAATGAACCCCGAAATTCCTGCCGCAAATTTTTAATGTAACAAAGAGATGATTTACTTTTTCGTTAATGATGCATATGCTAATCTATATATGTGTGCTCTATTGCAGTTTCAATATTTATGATCTGTTTTCTATTTTGTAAGCTCTATTATTCATTGGTTTCAAGGTGCAGAATATGCTATGGTAGGGGCAGTATCTACTTATGGGAATGTCTACAGTTATGGAATCCTGTTGTTGGAGATGTTTACAGGTAAAAGACCAACGAATGACATGTTTAAGGATGGATCAAACCTCCACGAATTTGCAAAGAATGCTATACCAGGAAAAGTAAAGGAAATCCTGGATCCTGCAATACCACTAGAATTCTCAAGCAATGGAAGAGATAAACTAGAGCAATGTATTGTTTCCATACTTAAAATTGGAGTCATATGTTCAGCAGAATAGCCTAGAAAGAGAGTGAATACGAGAGGTCGGCAGGAGCTCGCAGGCAATCAAAGACAAGTTTATAGAAATAAGTTCCCAGAGGAACAGGCAAAATCGTGATTAATACCTTAATTTTAATTGGCTGTTATTTGTTTCATTTTTATTTTCTGATATTTATCATTTCCATTGCTAAACTAAGAATCCAGAAACTTGAACTTCTCGGAGGTTCTGAAGGGTGCATTTTATCTGTATAATTTGGAAATGGCCTGCTCATTTGCCTTTTTTTTTTCAGTAATTTTGTGGTTAATAAAATTGATTGATTTTCCAAAGAACAAACAAAAACATGATTACAAATTTTGTAGTTAACATTACTTCTTTTCCTTCACTTATTTTTTCTCAAATTTTTTATTTTTTATCCGCATAATAACTATGTGATGTTAAGTGTCTAACAAAAAATAAAACCTAATACTTAAAATATGACTTCTTTTATTTAGCAGCAAGATATTTTAAAACTTTCACTACAGCAAAATGACATATTAACGGCAGTTTTATAGCGGTCTTTCACTTACAAATGCTGTTAGCTTCCGTGTTTTTATAAAACTTCAAGCGTTTATTATTCAAACGCCACTAAATATTCAAATAGCGGCATTGTTATTTATAAACGTCACCAAAAACTTGATATTAGAGGCGTTTTTCTACTAAAACACCTTGAATATTTTTTATTAAAAGTTTCAGTGAATAGTTAAAGCATTTTTTGGCATACAACGCCTTCAATAATCTAATAATCATGTCATAAAAAATTGTATGAGATTAAGGATATTTTTCCAGAGATTTAATATTTCTATAGCTGTGGCTTCTGCACTGGAATATCTACATACTACATCACCACTGTCATACTCCAATCATCCGCTGTGACTTGAAAACCAAGTAATTTTCTTCTTGATGTTGATATGCGTGTACATGCAACTGACTTTGGTCTTGCCAAGTTCCTTACAGAATGCACAGATATGTACTCTCACAATCAAACCAGTTCAATCGGTATGCGAGGATCCATGGGTTATGTTGATTCAGGTATTTGCTTCATTCTCTCACTATAGCTTGCATACTCAACCAATTCATAAGCACATACCTTTCACTCAATTGTTAATTGATTGCAAAAACTTCAACATATATACGAATACAATTCTGTTGCCAGATAATAGGTTTGTATACCAATTAAAAAAAAAAACAGCTTGTTGGCTCAGAACTTGGAACTCTATCAGCAGTAATGCAGCTAAGCAAATAGTCAGCAACAAAAGAAATTTTCTAATGAACCCTGAAATTCCTGTTCCAAATTTTTATTGTAAAAAAGAGATGATATTCTTTTTGATTACCGATACATATGCTAATCTATATATGTATGCTCTACAGCAGCTGCAATATTTATGATCTTTTTTCTATTTTGTATGCTCTATTATTCATTGGTTTCAATGTGCAGAATATGCTACGAGAGGGGCGGTATCTACTTATGGGGATATCTGCAGTGATGGAATCCTGTTGTTGGAGATGTTTACAGGGAAAAGACCAACAAATGACGTGTTTAAGGATGGATCATACCTCCATAATTTTGCAAAGAATGCTATACCAGAACAAGTAACGGAAATCCTGGATCCTGCAATACCACTAGAATTTTCAAGTAATGGAAGAGATAAACTAGAGCAATGTATTGTTTCCATATTTAAAATTGGTGTCATATGTTCAGCAGAACAGCCTAGAAACAGAATGAAAACGAGAGAGGTCAGCAGGAGCTTGCAGGCAATCAAGGACAAGTTTATAGAAATAAGTTCCCAGAGGAACAGGCAAAATCATTATTAATACCTTCATTTTATTTGGCTCTAATTTGTTTCATATTTATTTTCTGATATTAATCATTTCCATTGCTAAACTAAGAATCCAGAAACTTGAACTGCTTAGAGGTTTTGAAGGGTGCATTTTAGATGTATAATCTGTAAAATGCCAGCTCATTTGCATTTTTTTCAGTAATTTTGTGATTAACAAAGTTGATTGATTTTCAAAAGAACAAACAAAAACATGATTAAAAATATTGTTCATAATATATTGCAAGCATAATGGCCAAATATATATATATATATATATATATATATTCAACCATTCATTTGAAAAATTGTCGACTAATTTTAAAGTTAATATAACTTCTTTTACTTCACCTATTTTTTCTAATATTTTTAGTTTTTTATTGGTTTAATAGTTTTTTTATGTTGAACATCTAACCTAAAATAAAATTTAATATTTAAAATTACCACTTTAATATATGAAATTCTAGTTATTATTAAAGCCCTTAATTTAGACTATGAAAGAAACAAAAGATCAAAGTATTAATTGATTCATGTAGTTATAAAATTTAATAAATTTAGAATTCGAATCCTAACATTTATTATTCCTTCTCTTATCTTAAACTGTAACCTTTCATGCGAATATATATATATATATATATATAGATATTAATAGAGGGAAATTATTGTCATGTATCTACTATAACTTAAAAAAGGAAAAGTCTTTTAGCAAACAATGATTTTTTTTTCTATCTTTTCAAAATTGTATGAAAGACTCATTGTTGGTTTATGAGAAAAAGATATAAACTTCCACTGGGACCTTGAAACAAAATATAGAACTTTTAAGGTTTTTGTGAAGAATAGTATCCAATGAATCTGAGTCGCAGAACAAATGATGGTACCTTTTCTCAATATTCAACATAGAAATTTACGAATTGAAAATTCAATATTGACAGCCTAAAGTTGTATAGATATTATCTTTGATTGCAAATAAATCTGAAAATTTAAAATATGACGTAATGATATAATAAAATATGATACGAGAATAAAAAAAAAGTTATCTAGTTTAAAATTTTAATAATGATTATATATGAGTTTAATAAAGCTAAAAAAACATATTTTATGTTTGTATTGATATAAATTATGATACATAATTTTTATATAAAATTCGATATAAATATATAAATTTTAATATTTTATACAACATATAAATATATAAATCATCAAATTTAATCTCGAATTTGTGATGATATAAGATTATCATGATAATATTACATGAAATATGTAAAGGTTGAAGTTTTAGCAGCTGATCAATTCACGCAAAATGTAATGGATGACTTTTTCTTAATTAACCAAAAAATTAGGTTGGAATTTTTTGTCCAACATTACTTGCTTTTGTGAATCACTTGTTTGACTTTTGAATTTTGATGTTTACAAGTATTAAAATGTCGTATCTAAATTTATTATTGTTATGAAATTTTTATATTATTATTTTAAAATATAGTATATGAATAATATATATTTTTAAAATTTACAATTTTTTTAAAAAATGGAGTACTATAATTCCATAATTTGCTCAAACAAATTATCAAAATTGAGTTCATTATTTGATAAAAAGTTTCATTAAAAAAATATAATTGGATGAAAAAATTATTAATTTTTGAATTAATTACAAAACCGCTGGTATATAATACCAAATCATTTTTTTTTATTAAAGAAAGTTCGTTGATAACTTGAATTCTTGATGAGTGATTACTGTTCAACAATTGACGAAGAATAATTCAACGTTATGGACTGTTATAATTCGAATACCAAACTTACAATTAACTAGTCTCAATCGAATCCCACTTCATGCTATACAATCCTTGAAGCCAAATTCGTATCCATTTAAAAAAAAAATTCATGTGAATAGGTTGAGACGATGGCAGTGGCTTCTTCAAGTCTTGCTATCTTCTTTTCTTCCATTCTTGTTCATCACCTTCTTACCCTTTCAACCGCTCAGCAAGAGCTGCGCTATGTCAACTGTGATAACGGACGCGGTAACTTTTCCGCCGACAGTCCTTACCCGGATAATCTCAACCATGTTCTATCTTCCTTCTCATCCAACCAAGGAAAGGACTATGGATTCTACAATGCATCCTTTGGCGAAAACCCTGACCAAGTTTTTGCGCGTGCGCTTTGTCGAGGAGACGTTGAGCCAGATATTTGCCGTTCTTGCATATCGGACGTCAATAAGAAGCTGCAATCAAGCGTTTGTCCCAACCAGAAGGAGGCAATTTTGGGGTATGATGAGTGTATGGTGTTTTACTCAAATCGCTCTATCTTTGGCATTTTAGAAACTTTGCCTGGTATGCATTTGTGGAGTCTAGTCAATGCCTCAGATCCTGAAGGCTTCAGTGAGACATTGAGGCCGTTGTTGGAAACATTGCGGAGAGAAGCTGCAGCAGGAGATGCTCTCCGAAAGTTTGCAGTAAACGATAGAATCACTCCCAATTACCAAAGAGTGTATGCACTTACGGAGTGCACTCCTGATTTATCCGAGCAACAATGCTTGGATTGTCTGGACCAAATTATCCAACAGCAGCCAGATTGTTGCACTGGAAGGAGCGGAGGCAGGGTCATAGGCCCAAGTTGTAATTTCAGGTTTGAGAAAGATCGTTTTTACAACATAACGCGAACGCCACCACCAGTATCTTCTGCCTTGCCTGAAGGTATATCTTATAATCATGCTCGTTGAGTTATATATAAAATTCAAAACTCAGAAAAGTTTTAATATGTGACAACACATATCTGTTTTTGTGACAGGAAATAAGAAGAATAATACATCTCGAACTGTCATCATCATCGTTATTCCAATTGCTAGTGTCATGGTACTAGTCATCTGTGTCGGTATCTTCCTGAAAGTAAGGAAGAGGAGGGGAAATTATGTTCAATACAGTAAGTTAGACGACATTATGCTGTTTCAGCATCTTCTAATTATGTAGATCATGGCTTCAAAGATTTTTTTTGTTTTTTTGAAAAATGTAAACAAAAATAATCTAATCCTGGAAAGATTACGGAATTCTACTAGCCATGCATGCATCTATTCTTTAAAACGAAAAGTTCAAACATTTAGCTCAGTCTCCGCTAATTACTAGCTTGCTCCTCCTTTCCAGTAGATCATGACGAGGAAGTTATCACCGTAGAGTCTTTGCAATATGATTTCAGCACCATTAGAGATGCAACAAATAACTTTTCTGATGAAAATAAGCTTGGACAAGGTGGCTTTGGGGCTGTTTACAAGGTAAACATATGCATGACGTTGAATATCAAATGCCCTCAATGGAGTTGAACCTGATTTCACTAATTTATCAACAGATCATGTGGCTCTATGTTAGCTATGTGTTCGACATATATTAGATATATACTTTGCAAAATAGCAAATTTAATGCCTTTGTTAATTTTCAGGGTAGGCTTGCCACCGAGCAAGATATAGCTGTAAAAAGGTTATCCAGGGATTCAGCACAAGGAGACCTAGAATTCAAGAATGAAGTCCTCTTGGTGGCCAAGCTTCAACACCGGAATTTAGTTAGACTTCTAGGTTTCAGCCTGGAAAGAAATGAAAGACTTCTTATCTATGAGTTTGTGCCTAATTCAAGCCTTGATCGCTTCATATTTGGTATGGCTGCATTTTATCTAAGTATTAATGAATTTCAACTGAATTTTGCTTGTTCAACTTGGACAGAGCAGATCAGTGTTTATTTCATTTTTGTTACTAGAACTTAAGCACTACTTCTAGTTATAGTTAAGCACACCATGATTGATATCTTAATTGCATTGAAGTTATTACATTCTTGTATGAACATATAGATCCAAATAGGAGGGAACAATTGGATTGGGAACAACGCAACAAAATCATAGGAGGCATTGCTCGTGGACTCCTTTACCTTCATGAAGATTCTCGGCTTCGAATAATTCATCGTGATCTTAAAGCAAGTAATATTTTGTTAGACATAGATATGAACCCTAAAATCGCTGATTTTGGCATGGCAAGACTATTTGCAATGGACGAAACACAAGGCAATACAAGCAGAATTGTGGGAACCTAGTAAGTTCTAAACATGATAAACTAATTTTGAGTAAATTCCATTACGAGCATGTTATAACCTTTTTGGCAATGTTTCTTTTTTTCTTTGCTTGCAACTTAAAAAATATGACTTTTTTTTATCCACGACTTTTTAATTTGTTTCAATTACTTCATCCCATTAATGTATTATTAAAATTTGGACAAAGTTGATCATGTGTATGTCTATTCAAGTGTCACGTGGCAAATTTCGTCCATATTTCAGCCAAATTCTATCAATGTATTGATGGATTATTTGATTTTAAATAAATGCAAAAGGTTGTGGATGAAAAAAATTAAGTTTTTTAAGTCATGATTGAAAATAAATCATTATAAAAAAATCAAAGTACTATTAATGCTGCAATTGATTAAGAGAAATACCTATATATATATATATATATATGATTATAATAATTTTTTATTAATTCCTGTTTTGCAGTGGTTATATGGCTCCGGAATATATAATGCATGGACAATTTTCGGTAAAATCTGATATCTTTAGCTTTGGTGTATTGATTTTGGAGATTGTAAGTGGTCAAAGAAATAGTTCTTTCCGCAACGGAGATAACTTGGAAGATCTTTTAAGCTATGTAGGTATAAAATTTATTAATTATTTATTACATGCTAACTTATAAAATATGAAATCTAGAGTTTATAAAGGTCGGTTAGTTCATGCAATCAGTATTTAGTAAATTTGAAATTTAAATTTCAACATTTATATCCATTTTTTATCCTAAATTATGACTTTTTTTATAAAAAAAAAAAAAAAAAAAAAAAACTTACAAAAATGTGAAATACGAGCAAAAATATATAGTGTAGGACCATCTAATATTGGTAAATTTTTACAGGCATGGAAAAATTGGAGGGAAGGGACAACACTGAATCTCATAGATCCTTGTTTGAAAGTATCTTCAACAGCTGCAATAACACGATGCATCCACATTGCCTTACTATGCGTGCAAGAAAATGCAGCTGACAGACCAACAATGGATTCCGTTGGTATCATGCTTAATAGCTACTCGCTCACTCTTCCGGTGCCGTCTCAGCCAGCATTTTTCATTCAGAGCACCATTGAATCATCAGACCTCTCTTCTTCCTCATCGGCATATGCTTCAAGGCTCATGGATCGTTCCATAAATGATGAAATTCTCACCTTCTCCAAAAACGAGACGTCAATTACAGAGTTAAATCCTCGCTAGTGCTAAGGAATGGATGTTGGTTTCTGTTATTTTATTAAGCATAAACATTTTTTGCATATTCGAAGTACTTTTCTTTTCTTTAACGATAGTGTTTTAAAATGTCATGTCCACCTTTTTTTATTGTAGTTCATTGAATTCTTTTATATGGTGATGTGCCCAAATTTTATATAAAAGATTTGTGAAAATTTATTATGATATATGTATGAGATTTTTTCATAAAAAGTTTAAGATAAGGGAAGATTCTTTCATTTAAGGATTAAAGTAAATCACAAGTATCATAGAGAGTTTGTATTGGATTTATAAATTATCTATCAAAGGAGAGTTCATAGATAAAAGTATATCAAATAATAGAAGAACTTGAGGGCCTACAATCATATGATCTGTTAATAAAATATTAAACTTTTTAATTTCAATTATCCAGATACAAATCCTAACTACCTCATTTATATATATATATAAACAAACAAACCAGAGGGGATCATGGTTGAGGAGAGAGCGTGATTATATCTTTGTTAAGCGCAAATGACTTAATAGTTAATGCTAATTAGTAATTATAATCTTGAAGATATACATACATAAAACCTGATATTTTACATTCCGAAGTTCCTGTATTTCAGACAAATGTCTAAATAACAGAAAGAAAACTTGAGCTGATCAAGGATGGCGAACGACTGCTGTGGTTAATAAAAGTTTGCATCATTTATCAACGAATGCAGACTCTGCAAGGTCGATGGAACGAGCAATGCCAGCAGCTTTGTTTTGGCACTCAAGGTGCTCAGCATCAGGATCACTGTCTGCAACTATACCAGCGCCAGCTTGAAGATAAGCTACCCCTTCTTGGCGTCTACCAAAAAGCAAACAGACTTCTTCGGAGCTTGAATTCCATATTTGAAATTGGAATTGCTTGTTCTTTTGAATTGCAACTGAAAGAATGAACATGGCTAATGTTGTTGCTGAGCTTTGTTCTATAAGAGGCAAGCTGCTTCCAACTCGATCATTAAGAACAAGAGGTACTAATATTGGTTTAAATCTAAGTAACAATAACATTTAATTTGTTATACATTTTTATCAAATTTCACATTCTTCGCATTATTCTCTGTAGCTGGAGGTACTGCATAATGGCTTAAGCTTAGTTGTTCCATTGGAGTGCGAAGATGCAGTTTTGTTCACTATCACATTTATGAAAAAAAAAAATTTAATAGGTGTATTTTCTGAATAGACTAATAAAAGTCACTATATGGTCATCAAAATCCAGCTTTAAATTACCATCCATCTTTTTCTTCAAGCAATTTTCCCCTTAAAATAAACAGGGGAAGGGAAAAAGATTATTAATGTTTAATGTTCCAAGAATATGTAGCAGCAATGTTATTGTGGAGATGGCAACAATGGTAAGAAGATAAGACACAGCAAACCTGGAAGAATAAGACAAAAGCATCTAATTCAAAATTGGATGTAACAGTTTAACCATGAACAAAAGGATTAATTCTTTGATCATTTTGTTTGCATTTTATTCACTCTTGTTTTGATCAAAACATAAGTTTCTTCCACTTCTTTTGATTTTCTTATTTTCAAGAAATTAAAATTTAATGAATTTTCTTGAGATGAAATATTATTTATTTTCAAAAGAAAAAAAAAATAAAACAGAAAAACAAGCTTTATAATATTGCTGTTACATTTACAGAAAAAAGGAAAATTTTCTTTTTGTTTTTAATTTATTTAGCAGAGTACCTATACAATTTATTCTCAATTAGAAAAATAAATATAATCAAAATCAATCAAAAATTTATCAATAACCCATTGTTATTGGACAGAAAAAAAAAAAAAGGAAAACTAATTAAATTCATCTTGATGGATGGTGTTTTAGACATTTGTAATGAAAAGGATTAATTAAATGGTTTAGCCTTTGAGTATGAATTAATTTCTACCAAAGAACCCTGTAAAATATCTAATAAAACAATGAGAAAGCTCAGAGAAAAGAATTTGCAATGGTAAGGTGAGGTTATTCTTTGAAGCTATATTTGACTGATCAATCACAAATTAAATAATATGATGACTTCACTTGAATGGTAATTTTTCTTGCCAAAAATCATTTTCTAAATTATTGAACAGAAACAGAGAATAAAACATTTCTTAGAGAAGTGGGATCCAGCTGAAAAACCTATGTTCAAGCTGATTTCACATCTGATAATTACTTTTCTCCGAATTTTGCTACTTAAGTTGAATTAGGTGCTTGTCTTTACACAAGTTGACTGAGTCAACTAGACTAATACAAGTGTCATGATCATTTTATATTTTTATCATACTAGTTAAATTCTTGAAAACTTATAGGGTATCCAGGCGTAATATTAGGAATTAGAATATTAGTACTACCACTAAAATAATAAAAAATTAGTTTATATATATATATATATATATGTTTATCAATAATATTTTGTATTTCAATGATTTTTATATATTTTGTAAGTATTCATATTCCAAACACTATTAAGATGAAAAAAAAAAAAAAAAAAACACAATGATGCATCCATAATAAAAATGAGGAAAAGTATTCAGTACAGCAAGTGTGGCTCAATTATGCTCAAAATCCAGGATGAAAGCCAACCACAAGTAGATGCTTCCAATTAAAGAAGGGACCGGAAGCAACTTCTAGCCACAGTACTTTCAATGTCAGAAAACCTGAACCAATTAATGGCAGATACGGAAGGATAAAATTATAGTTTCAAACTTTCTCATGTATTGCACTCAAGTTCTTTTTGAAAAACCAAGCACTCTCAAATACAAAACCAATCTCATAATTAACAAATTGATTCCGGTTGGTAGAGCTATCGAACAAGCATTTGAAAGTTTCAGCTCTTTTTTCCTCTTTTACATTGAAATTATGATTCTTCTCTCATGCTTCAATGGACTTGAGAGGCTTGGGTGAGGCAAAATGTTGCTTTTCTCTTTTGTTCACACTCAATCTCGCATTTGCAGAACTTCCAATTTGTCCTAAACGCACTCTTATTAGAGAAATTGAAACAAATAAGAGAGCATTTCCTCCAATAATTTGTCTATTTGTATTAATATTTCCTTTCTGTAGTTGCATTATCGACTAGTGGATTACCTCCAATGTGTGTGCCTGTAATCTTTATTAAACATAAATCCCTTTCTTTAGTGCATCATCAAATTAGAATATTGTATGGGTAATTAATGCTAATAAGCTGTCCTAAAACACATTTTGCAGCTTCTCTTTATTGTTTGTATTTTAATTGCTTTATTGTTTGTATTTTAATTGCTCTTTTGATCAAAAAATAAGCTTATTCTCCTTCTACTAATTTTCTTATTTTCAAGAAATTAAAATTTAATGAATTTTCCTAAGAAAGAATATTATTTCATTTTCAAAAGAAAAAAATCAAACAAATTGGGAAAAGCACTGATTTTCACCAGGTGGTACCATAAATGGAAGAGTTTTTTTTTTTTTTTTCTGTTGCTTTTGATGGAATAAAATGGAATATCTACATGTTTTATGCACGTCCATTCAATTCAGGCTATTTCCAGTTCTAAATAACTGGTTTTAATTGGACCATCATCTTCTGGAATGATCACCAGCCATGGTGAAAACTAGAGTACTGATAATCAAGTCCAGTAATGGTTCAGTCAAGTTAAATTTATTCATGACGACATACGCTTATTTTTCAAATTACTGATCAGTCTATCAGTTTTCATTTCTAGACCAAAATTTCTAGAAATTTCGAAAGGTCATGTGAATTAGGAAAATGCTATAAAAAATTGATATAATAAATAGTTCAAAAGTATAACAATTATACATCAGTTGAAATATATCTATCTATTTAACAATCAAAATCTAGTTTGGCATTGTAGATAGTTGGAGTGACATAGACGAAATTATTAGTATAAAGTTTTTTCTATGTGTTGAAAATGATAGTATAAAGTTTTTTCTGTGTTGAAATTGATAGGTGAGTTTGGGGTTTGGATAGAAAAAAAAAAAGAGTTCACACCATTTTTTTCCAAGTCATTATTAGTATATCAGGTCATGGTAAACACAAATGCAACAGACACTTCTTTGTTTTCCGTCATTATCTGGTCAGATTCCCCCATTCTTTGCTCCTATGATGCAAGTCTTTTTTCAAGCCTACAAAGTCCCTTAAAGACTTCCGATTAATCCTGATAATGAAAATAAAGGCATAAAGGAAGGAAATAAACTTGTTCGTGGGTCGAATCTGATCGAATTTGATTAATTTTGGAAAATTTTTGCCTAAGACTTGACTAATCTTTCGTGCTTAATAAGCTTGATTTTTAAGAAATATATTAAAATATTCAAAAATATTAAATTATAAATATTTAATATTTTTAAATATATTTTAAATTTGAAATTTAATAAGCAAATATTTTTATCAAATTTTAAATATTCTAGATGAGCCCAAGCTTCAGATCTCTTGAGTCTTGGATAGATCCAGAAGCAAGTTTTCCTTTTATTTTACAAAAGAATTTTTTTCAATTTATTAAGAAGAGTACTATCATGCCCCAAGAATGAAACATAATACGACCCTATTATTTTGAAATAAAACCTCAAAATCCATAAATTCAATAAAATAATATATTCAAGAAAATCCATAAATTTAATGTTTTTTAGATATTTTCTAAGAGTTCAAGTTATGATCTTTAAATTATATGACATGTTAAAGAGCTTATATTATGATTTTGAGGATTTTTTAAGAACTACGATTTGATCATTAGAGATTCTATAGGTTTGAGAAAATACATTCGACTTAATGAGATTTTGAAGTATTTGATAAGTGTAAAGTGAATATTTAATCATGGATTAAGAGTGGTATATGAATGTACATATTGGAACTATCTTATTTGAATGGTTGATTAGAAAGAACAAGTTTTGAGATGGAATTGTTACCTTTGTAAAAGTTTAATGCATAATCATATGGCAAGAGAAGTGATTTTAGAAATGGAGGAATAAGATGTGGATGTAAATCAAGTTTCAAGGA